CCTAAACCCTAAACCCTAAACCCTAAACCCTAAACCCTAAACCCTAAACCCTAAACCCTAAACCCTAAACCCTAACCCTAAACCCTAAACCCTAAACCCTAAACCCTAAACCCTAAACCCTAAACCCTAAACCCTAAACCCTAAACCCTAAACCCTAAACCCTGATGAGGAGGGTGACGGCTGGTAAGGTAACATGGGGAAAGGAGGTGCGATGAGACGGGGAAGGGAGGTTTAGTGAGATGCAGAAGATAGGTGCTCTGCGAGAAGGAAGGAGGAGAGGACAGAGGGGGGAAGGAAGGGTGATGAGAGGGGGGAGGAGGAGAGGACGGAGGGGGGAAGGAAGGTTGATGAGAGGGGGGAGGAGGAGAGGACGGAAGGGGAAAGGAAGGTGCTGTGAGAGTGGGGAGGAGGATAGGACGGAGGTGGGAAGAAGGCGCGCTAAGAGGGGAAAGGAGGAGAGGACGGAGGGGGGACGGAAAGCTGTGTTTTTTTCACCAGCTCGACACATATTTCGTCATTCGTTACCCAATCACGGAAGGCCAAAATCACGGAAGAGTTAAACGGTTGGAAATCTGAGACGCGAGCTTTAAGGGGGTCTAGTGCTGAGGCGCCTCAAGAGCGGGCTTAAGAAGGCGGAATGGGAAGGAGGGAGGGGGAGAACATGCCACGGGGGCATGGTGAGTCTGTTCATCGCAGGAGACAGTGACCAGGGCGAAGGGAACGTTTTGACCAGGGACGAGATTCACTTATGAGTTTTTTGAAAGTAAATGGACTGGGGTGAGCGGTGAGGGGACTCACCACGGCGAATTCCACAGGCCTTGGAACGGCAAGGGAATAGGAGGAAACTCTTCTCGAATTAAGGCAACCGCAGGTGACTAGGATGGTGTCGCCGCGCGTCACACAGATGGTGTCGCGCGTCACCGCTGCCGTCGCGGGAATTGCAGATCAGAATAAGTGCGTTACAGATTTTGCGAGAGGCGTCTAGAGCTGGAGGGAAAATACGCAGCGGTAAGTGGCTGTGGTGGGGACGGTCTTCGCCATGAAAGGATGAGTAGACGAGAAATATCTGATCGATGGCGTGAGGCTTGTTGGGCGGCGTCATGATCGAGGAGGGGGGCCTCGTCAAGGTGGCGCCTTGGGGATACCTTAGCAGCTGAGGGAAGAGGCGGGTTACGAATAACTGAGTTAGACTGGGCTGCTCTGCAGAATGTTGGCTCAATTCTCAAGGCTTTGGATCTCGAATCTGAACCGTGTAGGGAATGTTGAATTTGAATTCTCAAAGACTCTATCTCAAATCTGAACCACACATTTGGTTGCGAAACTCTTCGTCTGCGACACTCTTCGCATGCAGGGTAACACGTTCGAAAGCTGACCACGAAGTCAAGAGGAGGAACCTGAAATCACAGTTCCTATTCGTTGGCACATTTTTCTTTCCAACGAATCTGGGACGTCCGTGACACTCGAGGTGTGAAGATTCACATTACAGTACACGCCTGTTCTAGCATCATATTTCGCATAGCTTGATTAGAATTATCTTCTTCTGCTCATGCTCGGACTCTGCTCCTTACCGTTCCCCCATGCATTAGTGCGGCTGTGAGTCTTCCCAACAGCGGATGGCCCACTCCTCGGGCTGCGCCAACCACGCCAAGGCTACTCCCATGCAGCCATGGCGTTGGGGGGAGTTGGCGTAGGCGTCTACCATAGCGTGCGTAGAGACTCGCTCTGCTCGCTACTTCATCTCCCTCCATTTCTCTCCACACGCAGGCGGCGATGCCGTCCCCTGTTCGTTTCCGTGCATTTCGTTTGCGGGACACCGCGATTGAGGAGTGCGGGAGGCCACGAGCCGATGAGCGGTTTCCCGATGAGCCATCTGGCTGCAGCAACCAGCAACCAGCCATGGGCTGCAACGCAACGCCTAAGGGGGGGAGGAGGGGGGGGATTGGAATCCGAAAAGGAGGGGGCGGGGGTCATTACGAGTCTAGCACAGCGCCGCCTGGCGGGTCAAGGTGCTTTCTTTAACATCATTGTACTATCTTCTCGACTCTGTTTCCTCTTTTCCTTCTTCTGGAGATCTCTCTCTATTTCAGCTTTTGCAATCTCTCTTTCTTTCGCTTCTGCAATCTCTCTTCCTTTTCGCTTCTGCAGTTCCCATTTTCGCTTCTGCAGTTCCGATTTTTGCTTCTGCAGATTTCTTCTTTTCGTGTGTTTCCCGTCTTCCCTATCTCACACCGTTTGCTCTGCGTCTTTCCGCCTCTCCGTCGCATTCGTCGCCCCCTTCCCCTCGTTCCCCCTGTGCTCCGCATAGCATGTGCGCGGCAGCAGCGGAGGGAGTGGGAGCAACATCGCACGCAGCCAGCGCACGGAAGAGCACCTCCTTGCCGCCTCCTGCCTTGCCGCCTCCCCTCTTGTCGCCGCCTCCCTTGCCCTCCTTTCCCTTGCCACCCCCTCCCTTGCCGTGTCGTCTGCTGCTGCAGGCGAGCAAGCAGGCGGGGACTGTCATAATCTTACGGGAAAAGTGTGTGTCGACTATCGAGGGAAAAGATACAAAGGAGAAACCTAAGGGGTTGTACCCCACAGTGAGTGCCCCACTAAGCCTAACCAAACTATAAGAAATATACTCATATGTTTGACACACCCCCATAGGCAAAGTGGGGGAGAACAGAGGGTCACAAGACCAGTCAGGAAGTGCAAAGCAAGCTCAGGGTGGATCACAACGTCACCACGCAGTCTGAGCACAAGCAAGAAGGCCACAAGGCCAGTTCACATGCAGAAATGTATATGTAACAACAACAGTACAGTGATATCTACCTACAAGAACAAGCATGCAGGAATACATATAAATCATGGTACAAACAAGGCCTACAGCAAGTGAGGAAGAGTGGGCACAAGGCCTAACAAAGTGCAGAAACGCTGATGATCATCAGGCGGAAGCGCCTTGGTGAATATATCAGCAGTGTTGGCCCGAGTGGCCACGTAGGTAAGACGAAGCTGGCCACGCTGCTGCAGCTCTCGAGCAAGAAAGTAACGGAGAGCGATGTGCTTTGTTCTGTGCTCCAGTCTGTGCTCCTGACACAAGGCAATGGCGGCCTTGTTGTCGACGTACAGAACTGGAGGAGAACGAGGCCTCTCTCCCAAGTCGGTCAGCAGGTAGGTGAGCCAGCGCAGCTCCTGTGCAGCCATGGCTGTGGCGTAGATCTCTGCCTCACAGCTGGAGCCGAGAACTGAAGACGAACGTGTAGAACGCCAGGAAACTGAACCAGAACCAAGGCTGAAGGTGTAACCCTGTGACGACCGCTGTGTAGCCTGGTCGTCAACCCAAGAGGCGTCCGAGTGACCTGTGAGGACAACGTCACCCCGTCCTCCAAGCACGAGCCCCATGCCCGATGTACTGCACAAGTAGCGTAGTACCCTCTTGGCAGCATCCATGTGCACCTTACGGTGCCGACCAGGAGCCACGTAGCGAGCCAGAAGGCCAAGAGGGTACGCAAGGTCAGGTCGAGTGCAAGTCATCAGGTACATGAGGCAGCCCACTAACTCTGGGTAAGGACCACTCGGCTCTACGGACTCGTCCGAAGGTGGAGCTGAGAGCGAGTGACGTGTAGCCAGAGGAGTGGCCTGTGCTGAGGACCAGGTGAAACAGAAGCGCTGAAGGACCTGCTGCACCATGTGTGACTGAGTCAGTGTGATGGTGCGGCGTGCTCTGTCCCGGGTGATCTGCAAGCCAAGGTAGCTGCGCAGTTCACCCAGGTCTGTGCACGTGTGTCTCTTCTGCAGCTCCGACTTCACCAGGGCGAGAGCCTCAGTGTCAGCAGTGGCAAAGACCAAGTCGTCGACGTACACGAGAACGTAGAACGGCGGCAGCGAAGTGTCGGTGCGCAAAAACAGCGACGGGTCAGCAGTCGACGGAGCAAAACCAAGAGCCGCAAGTGTCGTCCTCAGTGTGTCGTGCCACTCACGTGGCGCCTGGCGGAGACCGTAGACCGGCCGCCGGAGGCTCCACTGGGTACCAGGAGGGAACGACCCAGTGAAGCCAGGAGGGCGGCGCAGCCAAATCTCCTCGTGCAGGCTGCCCTGTAAGAAGGCTGTGCTGAAGTCAAGAGAGTGAAGCTCGTAGTCACGCTGAGCTGCAACGTGCAGCAGCACCCGAAGAGTGGTCATCTTCGGGGTGGGGGAGAAGGTCTGGAAGAAGTCAACTCCCTCTCGCTGACTGAAGCCTCGAGCCACGTACCGAGCCTTGAAGACAGGCGGAGAACCTGGCGGCCGCTTCACCCTGAAAATCCACATGCCACTGACAATGTTCGCCCCAGGAGGGGGAACCTCGTCGACGTAGGTGCCTGTGGACTTCCAGGATGCCATCTCTGCGTCCATGGCTGTCTGCCACTGAGAGGAGTACTCACCCGCGATCGCCTCAGCGTAAGAGCGCGGGGTAGGGATGTCTGGTGCATCCGGGTCTCCCTCAGGGGCAAGCAGCATGGATACGAGATGAGGCGCAGCGGCTGCAAGACACTCAAGGTCCTCCTGTCTGTCCTCAAGGACGTCCGTGCCAAGAGCACACTCACCCCCGACGGACGGAGGACAGACAGACTCAGACTCAGCAACAAGACTGGCGGCGTAGTCGAGACGACAGGCAGCAGCAAAGTCAACAAGCTCAGCGACTAAGGCAGACGCAGCAGCAGACTCAAACGACGGGTCAGTGACAACAGTGGCAAGCAGACGCGTGACAGTAGAGTGCACAGCACGAAACTGGTCAGATGCAGGGTCAGCAACGACAGGAAGAGAGGACGCAGGGGGAGACGGCAGAGGAACACGCAGCGGAGGAGAGGAAGGACGACGAACTACAAGGTGAGAGCCGGAGACAGCCGGCTGCCGCTGACGAGGAACACGACGACCGGAACGACCAGAACGGACAGGTGAGACAGGACGCGACGCAGGCTCACGACGCTCAGCAAGGCCCCTAGTCTGCTCTGTGTACGGAGAAGGAGCAGGCAGCGGTGAGCCAGGCTGTAACTGAAGACCAGTAGACGAGGGAAGACTGAGAACCTGGCGAAGTGCAGAGTCAGGTGGTGGCTGAGACGACGGAGACGGCGGAGCGAAGAACAGGCGCTGCTGAGCAGTGCCACCAGCACCAGTAGCTCCAGCACCTCCAGCAGCTCCAGCACCTCCAGCAGCTCCAGCACCGCTAGTAGCTCCAGTACCCTCAGCAGCTCCAGCACCGCCAGCACCTCCAGCAGCTCCAGTACCTCCAGCAGCTCCAGCACCCTCTGCAGCGCCAGTACCCTCAGTCACAACACCGCCAGCCCCAGCAGCTCCAGTACCCTCAGGACGAGCACCTCCGGGACCAGCGACACCAGCAGAAGAACCCCCAGCAGTAGAGCCCTGAGGTGCATAAGCGCGACGCTGACGGCGACCGTACCAGTCGTGCAGCTGCTGGGAGGTGAGGGGCACAAGCGGACGAAGACGGCTACTCCAAGGGGACCGCGGAAAAGCAGTCGCAGAACCCTCAGGCGACTCACCCCCAAACTCAGCACCCCCAGGCTCCGCACACGCAGGCTCAGCACCCCCAGACGCAGCACCTCCAGACGCAGCACCCCCAGGCTCCTCACGCTCAGCGCCCCCAGACTCAGCACCCCCAAGCTCCGCACCCCCAGGGACAGCACCACTCGCAGCAGGACCGGAGTCACCAGTGACCTCAACAAGCGCAGGCGCCGGGGGGTCTACCTGAGAGACACCTGAAGGAGCAGGACCTGGCGCGGGGAGGGGGTCTACCTGGGGAGGACCTGGGGCGAGAAAGAGCGGCGGGGGGGGGGGGCGAGGAGCAGTGCGGTAGGGGAAGAGGCGGTAAAAGGGGACCGACTCGTCAAAGGTGACGTCCTGAGACGCAAAGACACGGCGGGAGGCGGGGTCGTAAAACTGCCAGCCAGGCGCGTCAGGGACAAAGCCAAGGAAGACGCAAGGAATGGCGCGAGGGGAGAGCTTGTCCGCGGTGGTATCGCGGAGAAAGGCACGAGCACCCCAGACCCGGAAACGAGACGCGTCGCCAACCTTCCCCGTCCACAGCAGTGTGGGCGAGGTCTCCGGCGAGGAGACACGGGGCCAAAGGTTGAGCTGATGCGCGGCGTACCGGACCGCAAACGGCCACAGAAAATGGGGGGCAGCCGCATGGATCATGGAGGTACGAGCGACCTCCATGACTAAGCCAATGCGGCGCTCAGCAACCCCATTCTGCTGAGGAGAGGCCGGAAGCGTGAAAGTCTGGCGGATGCCGTGCTCCGCACAGAAGGCTGCCAAGAGGTCTGAGGAGAACTCACCACCTCTGTCAGAGTGCAGACGCAGGACAGGAAAGTCCGACTGGAACCGCTCGCGGAGCTGGAGACGAGTAGCGCGGATCCAGGGGATCAAAACATCAGGGACATCCCCCTTGCGCTGCAAGGGGAAGACCGTGGTGTAGCGCGTGTAGTCGTCGACAACCAGCAGGAAGTACCGCTCGTGGCCCTGTCCACGGACGCGGGCTGGGCCCCACACGTCCAGGTGGAGAGTCTGCAGTGGAGCCTCTGTGGGAGGGAACGAGGAGGAGTGAGGAGCGGCGCGCTGCCGCCCCTCGACGCAGGGAATGCAGGGCGGCGCAGGCGAGGGAGGGAGGGGAGGCAGAGACCTGGGAAGCCCAGCAACCAGGAGGCGGGAGTGCATGCTGCGTAGGCGAGGCAGGGAGGGGTGACCAAGGCGGTGGTGCCACAGGAGAGTGTCGTGCGACAGCCGGCGACACTCACACTGTGTAGCTACCTGAGCAGACGCGTGCAACTGGGGAGACAAAGGGGCGGAGCGTGACGTAGTGGTGAGGGTGTACAAACTGGACCCCGGCGCACGAGCGAACGTGGCCAGGTGGCGACCAGTCTGGGAGCACGTGCAAATCGCCACACGCTGCCGGCCAGGGGTGAAGGTGTCAACCCCCGCATCCTGGAGGACAGCGTTACTCACCAAGTTCGTAGAGAACGAGGGGAGGTGGAGACCAGACAGCTCACCAGACGGGACCGCCGGACACGGAAGCACAGTGGAAGACCGTGCAAGCACTGGGCCCCCAGAGGGGTCAGCCAGTGAGACAGGAACAGGTGCAGGGAGGGGAGTGACTGTGGTACTGTCGCGAAAGAAACAGCGGGAAGCACCAGAGTCAAGTGTAAAGGTGTGCAAAGCCTGTGCAGGCGCAGTACCAAGGGGAGCAGACTCATAAGCACCTAGTGCTGCAGGGGCTATACCAGGGGTTATACCAGGATCCGGCGGCACACACAAGTAGCAGTCACCCTCAGCACTAACAGACAAGGCATACATAGCAGCAAGAATTGCCTCATAGTCAAGATCAAAGATAGGTACATCACGCCTAAGCAAGTCTGCCCAGTTGGGGAACTCAGTAGCATCACGAAACTTGGCGCGCCAGGCGTCGCTAAGCCGAGCGAAGCAGCGCTGCTCAGTGTGAAAACCTGTGCACTGGCGACCAGCGCGGGGACC